AATGTAATGCTCATATTAAAAAAAAAAAAAAAAATTCTAATGTACACTTAAATAGAAAATACATGGTGTGACTTTATCCCGGGCTGTTTGAATAACTACTGAAAAGATGTGAAGTACTCACCCATTTGTAATATTTTGAAAAAAACTTCTACTTGCCGTTACTTCTGTACTCGGATGTAAAAATACTAGAAGCAACTTTTCCAATTCAAAGTTACGGGTGGGACGTTTCCACAAAGTAAATTTGCGATTAGCTAAATTATTTTTGAGCATTGGTTTAAATTTTTATGGATTTCAATGTAGATTACTTACATGTACAGAGCGAAAAAAAAGCGATTTCATACGGAGAATGATCCTTTTAAAAACATTCTTTAAATATATTAAGTTCTAAAAGAAAAATGGTATCAAAATATTAAAATAAAACGATTGTTATCTAATTATTACTAAATATCTCAAGAAAAATCGTTTTTAATATTAAAATCACGTCATATTATAAAACGTTTTATAAGCGTAAATAAAAAAGAAAGTTTTTTTTAACGGGCGCCCCAGACATCCAAACTGGTTCTACTTTTCGTTAAATTATCTGGTGCAGTGTTGTTCACCTTCGTTCTCGCCATCCGTCAAACTTCAGCAAGACGGTTAAAGAATTCCACGGATCTCCTAAAGCAGCAACAAGAAAAATCATAATTTCACTTCCAAACCTGATATCTGGAGGCATTGTTCGGAAAGAGCAACATTATTATAAGGAAACAAGAAATAAAAAACTCTTGAGTGGCATCAACGGCCGATTATGTATGCACAATTTCAGACGATTCTTTTTCAAACGATTTCAAAACTCGTTTCCAAGATTCCATTTTAGTTTTCATTTTTAGCTTCATTTTTTTTCCATCTCCATCTAAGCTTAAGGCGATAATAGAACCTAATTTTCTCAGAAAAACAGGTTTAAATTTGAATCGAATTTTATTTTCATTCTTGACTTTCAAAATAATACTTTTTTGTCCATAAATTGAATAGTTTTCGATTGAAAAATTTCTAGACGGAGATGTCAAGAATCACGAATTTTTTTTCTATTTTTTTTTTCTTAATCCGGCTGGGTAACATACGATGAAGTTGTTAGAAGAAAATTCGGTGAATAGAAGCTTTTACAAGTTTTCTTTTACATGCAAAAGAAGGCACTTTACTTGATCAACTAAAAATAAATTGTCAGTTTAACCTGTATTTCAGATATTACGTACATATATCGGAAATATTCCGATAATGAGAAGAAAAACACAATTTTAATTTAGATAACAGTTGATTGTTTTTGAAAGAAAAAAAATCAACCTTTTTTTCTTTTCGATATTTATATCCATAACCGTTTTTGAAAAAAGAAAAAAATTAATATCAAGATACTGATGACTTCACAAATAGATGATTTTTAATTGCACTTATTACTTATATATATAAGTATTGTAAGATGTAATTTAAATGCCGTTAGCGATGAACAAGGTATTTGGTTTACCTAACTTTATACTGTTACTAAAAAACTATAAAGCAGTACCTTTCAGTTTGAATTCTTCATATCTATAAAAAGATCTTTAATTTTAATCCAAATTCAATTCTCGCATCGACTCCTAATAGAAAGATCATTTCAGCCCACTCTGTTCTATTATTGGAATGATTCCACCTCATGGTTCATAATAAGAGTCTTATTATCGTCTTAACATTTATGAAAGTTAAACGAGCATTTAAAAATCCGTATCTTAATTTATCGAATTTTCCTGGATTTCATTATATACTGAGTCTACTTGATATTTCCCTCGCGTGGTTTCAGCCTGATGTACAATTATACATCGGATAAACGTACTTTATTCGTTCGTACTTCCTTTCTTTCTGTCTTCTACTCTTTCCTTCCTTCGTTCGTAAATTGCTTTATTCGAGTTTTCCTTTTCTATTCCATTATTTGTTCAATTCTTTCTATCACCCTTTTCTTCCATCGCAAGCATTGCAGTCATTTGGATAATTGGATTGTTACGTTCGGTAGTACTAAGCATTGCAGACACTACTGGGCTATTGGCGACGGTTTAGGATTCATTCACTTTTTACCCATTTTAAATAATGATTTTTAATAAAAGTAACAACAAGCACCTGTAAATTTTATAGATATATTTTCATTAAATTTTTTACTCTTTTCCATTAAACCTTTGTTGTTGCATGTCTGGCAACAAATTGTTTTTAACAAATGACGTCATGCTATGATTTCTATTTTTTAAGATTTGCCATTGCGATGTATCCCATGGGTACATCGCAATGGCTAATCTTTACCAATAAACAACTTAAAATTACTAGATCATAAAATCAAGTGCTGATCATAAAATCAAGTGGATAAAAAATCAATTAAAACTCTTTTTAATTTCTTTTCTAGGAATGTTAGGATCAATGTACAAAATTTCACATCTATTATACACCAGAAATATTTTTATAGCTGTTTTCCCAGGTTAAAAAACTGATATTCTTTTTATTACTTTGTTATGATAAAAATTGCAAAAAGGTGTACTTAAACTGTAACTACCTTTTTGAGGAATGAATTGTTGAGTGGATTACGAATAACGAAATAGTGCAGTTTACGTTCCATTGCTGAAATATATAGTTGCGAAATAGGATTAAAATTACACGTAATTGCTTAAGGCTGCTTAACTTTTCCACATACATTTCAGGTTAAATTTATGTCTTCAGTTATTTCGCCGTATCCCATTCACAATAAAATACTTATGATTGAAAAACTAAGAGGAACAACTTTATTAATGTTTTAGTAAAAATAAATTAAGATTGTAGAAGCGTCTATAGATTGTTTACAGAATGTATTTCACACTTAAAAACATATCATTTGAAGACTTGACTATATAAATTAATATTCTTTATTTAGAGCTGATATTCTAGAATTCTTCTTTATTAGATTCAGTCTGTTCGAAATCTACACTAACGTAAAGTCCCAGAGTCAGAAAAGTTCATGCAAGCTAGGACAGTTAGGAGATAACGCCATCTGCTTTTTGATCCAAATTGTGGTAGCGTATTTTGCTCATGCGCCAGTATTGTCTTCGGACACTCGCAAGCATATTTCTAGCACAACCTTAACAACCAATTATTTTGAGTAGATCATAAACCTGCTGCGATGGCACAGTGGTTAATGCACTGAGCTCTCATTGTAAAGAGTAAGGGTTTTATGATTCTATTCCCTGTCATGGCTTGAAGCCCATTTTGCTTCATACGCCACCTCTTAGAAGAGAGAAGGCCTCCACACAAGTAAATTTAGTAGTGCGATGTAATGGGCATAAACTGCGCAGTGAGGTGAGGAAATAAAAAAGAAATCATAACGTTCGGACTACAAAAGCATAGGATACAGTCAAAAATTAGAGGCCGGGATACCCTGCTGGTAGGCCACTGGGCCCATGTCCAGGAGGTTGTGGGTTCGATCCCCGCCAGCCGAAGACTCCCCGTATAATAAATGGTGACTGGTGCACGTAAAATCTGTCGAGTCACAAAGTCCTCCATGTTCCCATTACAAATCATACCNAAAAGTGTATTGATCATCATGGAGAATATTTTGAAAAACAATAAAACCAATTTCGATCATACATATTTGTTTTTTCATTATTAGGCTAGAAATATAAATAGCAGCCCTCGTATTTTGCTTATGAGATGGCATTGTCTTCGGACACTCGTAAGCATAATTCTAGAACATCCTTAACAACCAAATAAACTAATTATTTTGAGCAGATCATAAACCTGCTGCATAGTGGTTAATGCACTGAGCTCTCATTGTAAAGAGTAAGGGTTTTATGGTTCTATTCCCTGTCGTGGCTTGAAGCCCCTTTTTTTTTCATACACCACCTCCTAGAAGAGAGAAGGCTTCCACACGTGTAAATTAGGTAGTGCGACGCAAAGGACATAAATTGCGCAGTGAGGTGGGGAATAAAAAAAAGAAAGAAATTATAACGTTCGGACTACAAAAGGATAGAGTACAGGGGAAAATTAGGGGCCGGGATAGCCTGATTGGTAGGGCACTGGACCCATGTCCAAGAGGTCGTGGGTTCGATCCCCGTCAGCCGAAGACTCCCTGTGTAGTAAATGGTGACTGATAGACGTAAAATCTGACGAGTCGCAAAGTCCTCCATGTTCCCATAACAAATCATACCTCTGGAGGTACTGATCCAGGAGTTTCCTCGTCTTCTGGATTGGTTCAAAATTACAAGGCTAAGGAGTTGAACATTAGTAGTCGTTAACCCAAAATTGGTTATATTATGAAATGAACAAAGCATAGTTATATGTGTGGAAGCCGGAAGCCTTCTCTCTACTAAGAGGTGTTGTTTCAGAGCTATGGGTATCAGTTGGTTTACGAAGTAAAGGCGGCAGGTGCGGACTACTGACCACATTGCCACTTTCATGCCGTTCGTCTTAACTAATTTATTTAATAATTATCTGGTAGAAGAGAAGTAGCAAACGTTAAAAAGACCCAATTTTTGAGGGGGGGGAGGAATTAAAGAATTTGTGCATTTTTTGTGAGGAAAGCACTCTAAAAAAATAGTTTTGATGTAATTCTACGAACTATTAATCCCCCTTCCCTGTTAAAACATTTAAAGCATATTGCGCTTACGGTCTTCACATTTAATGTGAAGTATCGCGAGAAACAAAAAATTTTTTACATTGCACAAAAATATCATTCATTTATTCAAAAAAACTGTAAGTAACAGTTTGAAATGATAATAACTAAATAAATTTTCAACTATTTTTCAAAACAAAGAAGACTTTTTATTCTAATTTTAATAAAATAAGACATTGAACGATTAACAGGTTTTTGTAATAAAATATTTCAACTATCGATATTTTTGGCATAATCCTTTCAACGTGTATATCAAAGATCTGCAACAGAAAGCAATAATTATTATCTTTTCTCTAATAAGTGTTGATAAGAATAAGTTATCTTATTTTTCTGAATGTTAATTTTTGTACTTTTTTCTTTTTAGTACTAAGAATGAAGTAGTGGATAATAACACTGTCGTTAGAGCTAGAGGTTTACCTTGGCAGTCTTCCGATCAAGATATCGCCAAATTCTTCCGAGGTCTCAATATCGTCAGGTAAGAAAAGAAAAATTAGCATTTATTCGAATACTTCATTTTAATGGCGTAGTTTTTTGTTTCTCTAACTCATTATCACATAGTGTTCTGTTACTAAGATAAAATTCCCCGAAATGGTTATTTCTAAAATAAGTTTTTATGTAATTATATTCTCAGTACGGGTTAAAAAACATAAAATATTGACGCTATTAACACAACGCAATCATGCGCAAAACTAAAAGGCATATTATCAAGATAAATATGTTTAAAATTATTTTATTATTTATATTTGTCGCTATTAAACTATTATTAAATTAATCAAAATTATTAAATTAATCAAAATACGTTTTCAGATTTTCAACGTATCAAAATAAAGGTTAACTATACTTAACGACCAATTAAGATAAATATGGACCCTAGGTCCACGAAAATTTGATAAATATTCTAAATATGACCTTCTAATGAGCAGTCTTGACATTTAAAAAAAAAAAAAAAAAAAGCTTCANAAAAAAAAAACTTTTATCTGCATGCTTTTTTCTAGCATTCTTTCTAATAATTATAGTACATTTTTAATTCGGATAAAATCGTGCAAATTTTAAAGCAGGCATTCAAAAGTTGTTTTCTTCAATGAAGGTTAGTTAATCTATTTGTTAATTCGTGATTTTGTCATATCATGACTATAATAAAAAGAATGCTATCAGTGCCTGTTTGCAGAGTTTCATTAAACTGTATTTTTTTATATTTATTTATAATTTAATTTTTATTTTTTTATTTTTGCTTACAATTATAATTAAATATCGGATTACAAAAATAGTAATAATTTTGATGACTATTCAGTAATTGCTGAGGAGCTCTTCTCTTTCTTTAAAAATAGACACTCAAAAAAAAAATCACCCTTCTAAGTAATATATCCATCTCTTAAAGGGGTGATCATAATTACCTCACTAAATTTATCAAAAAGTGAAAATTTCGAGGTAATTTGAGGATAACCAAATGGTGAGGAATTTAAAATAATGACCATCAGCTAATAACTACATATTCCAGAACTGTTGTTGAATCACTGTCAGTCCATACAAATACCCTAACTAGCGCATTCCCCTTTTCACCTAATATAATCATATGGGAGAGATAGCAATTGGTGGTTTTATTTGACGATGTCTGTTTTTTTCTCTTTATAACTGCTTTTAATTTCTTGTAAAAACCCTAATATAATTTCTGGAATTGCGTTAGATCGGCGTAATGATTAATGGTGCTTTTCTTTCTTCAAGGATAAGCAAAAGTGTCTTTTTATAAAGCTCATGGACCAGTCCTTAGGTTTGTTAGTTTTACTTGACGTACCATCCAACAAGAGGTAAAAGTTCTTGCCCGTCAAGAAGATAACAAGATGGTGGCTCAGGGGATAGAGAGCTCGCCTCCCAGTGTGGTGAACCGAGTACAAATCCCAGCGATGGCTGCTCAATACAAATTCCGCAACCGGCTCGCACCAACCACCGTGCTAACGTAAAATATCCTCAGTAATAGACGGATAATGGGTTAGAATTCCCTTACCATCAGGCTATCTGTCGGAGGTTCTTCTCGCCATGTAACACAAATGCTGGTTAGTTCTATCAAAGAGTCCTCCACGAAGGCAAATTTCTCCCAATACTTGATCCAGGAGTTCGCTTGTCTTCCGGATTGGGCTCAAAATTACAAGGCTACGAAGTTGAACATTGGCGGACATAAACTCAAATTTGGGTCGGCTGTTCACAGACAGTTATAAAATAAAAACATGGTTCTGGTAAATGAACATTCCATAAGTTTCTATTCTTCAAGTTCCTGTTCAAGGCGACCTGCCTCTTGGTTTTCTTTAGGGAGTACGAAGGATGATACAACTTTATTTGTGTAAATTCTTGGCGTTTTTAAGCAAAAAAGAAGACAAAATGTCTTAGATTTTAAATTAACGTGAAATATGATCATAATTATCCCTTACTGGTGAAAAAATGGGCTAATTATGCCCTTATACCTTAATACCAACAGAAAACAACAACAGACAAAACTTTATTCAAGGGTTGGAACCATTTTGAATCAACATGGGCCGTAACTGTTTCTAAAAGTCGAATAGTCTGTTTGAAATCAATTGAAAATTCCCTATTTATAGGTTCCAGAAAGAAAGAAAAAATGCTTAAAACTTTATAAAACTAGCGGGCAATAATCCTCCCCCACCAGGGTTGCCACTCCACAGGGAGAACAGGGGAAACTTGGAAAATACAGGGAATTTAAAAATCACCTAATATAGCAGGGAAAATGCAGGGAATTTTGATTTTTTTCTTTACGAACTGGGAAAATACAGGGAATTTTTTTCCTTACTTTTGTCTTTTAAAAAGTGGTGACCACTCAAAGTGTAATCTATGGGATATTTAACCACGATATTTCAGCTGTACTAAACTATTTCATTTACTATAGCATTATTTAAGTATGTTCAGCTGTTTTTCCAACAATTCAAACTTATAAATATAGTTAGCCCAATACAGCTCACAGAAGAGCACAGTAATTGTTGTTTCCTCTCAATAAATTGCGTATAATATGTACAGAGAAAACACAGGGAATTTTTTTTCCAGATTTGAGTGGCAACCCCCACTGTAAAGAGATTTTTTTTTTTTACTTTTTCTGTCCAACCATATCCTACAAACTAAGGTAAACAACGTTAAAGAGCACAAAAATATTTTTGTGCTCTTTAACGTTGTTTACCTTAGTTTGTACTTTAGCACAAAGGTCGCCCACTTGTGTATTTAACCATATCCTCTATGCTGTTGCGGCAAAGGCATATTGATTTATTCTCAAATAAAAACTTTTATTTCCAGAGGCGGAGTGGCGTTGTGTCTAAGTCCCCAGGGACGCAGAAACGGAGAGGCTCTTGTCCGTTTCGAAAGTCAAGAACACCGTGATATGGCCCTGAAGAGACATAAGCATCACATTGGACCCCGCTACATAGAAGTGTACCGGGCTACCGGAGAAGACTTTGTCAATGTGGCTGGTGGTAAGTTTCACATAAAGTATTTTTCATTTGAAGTTTTATAACGTTAATTTAAAAGGTGGAAGCAATGCATAGAATTTAATAAGTAAACTGTTACATTCAGGAAGAAGTTCCCCAAACAGCAAATGAAGATGTATCGGCCCGCGTATATATTCAATTCAAAGATGTGAAAAGTTGACATCTGACCCGCGTACTTAGATTACATCATGTTATTTATGTTTGACTTGTATATTGCCAATTCCAACTAGCAAACTCTACAGTCATTAATAAGTAAAATTAATAATACAAAATAAGTAAATACGATACCAATAATTGTTTTTTCATTGTAATGTAGGCAACAATAATGAAGCCCAAGCGTTCCTATCAAGAGGTGGACAAGTCATTGTAAGGATGAGAGGCTTGCCTTACGATTGTACGCCTAAGCAAGTGGTAAGTAACTTTAATTGAATTCAGAATCAACTCATTAAAGTTGAAAAGCAATGATTTATTAATTTTTCCATCTTTGTAGTTGGCATTTTTCGCCAGTGGTGAAACTCCTTGTGAAGTCATGGATGGTGAAGATGGTGTGCTTTTTGTTAAAAAGGCCGATGGACGAGCTACAGGCGATGCTTTTGTCCTTTTCGAGAGTGAAGAAATGGCCACTCGGGCTCTGCAGAAACACAGAGAAGTCATAGGTTCAAGATATATCGAGCTTTTCCGCAGCACTACAGCTGAAGTACAACAAGTAAGTCTCAAATTATTTATGTTTTTTAAATCGTTGACCTTCGTTAAAAAAAAGAGCCGTTGTATTAAAAGATACCATATAACATTTTGAAAAAGCGTGAAATTTTGGGTTGAAAACTTGTTTCGCTAGGTCATTAATTTATTATTTCAATTTTTTTTCCATGGCCATTAAATAAGATGGATTTACAAGAAAATGTGTTTCCTTAACAACTTTTTGCTGTTGTTGTATTTTCAAAGGCCGATGCTCCTTGATGTACAAAGATGTTTCTCAGAAGGCTTTTACTATTAAGCTCATTAACATCAAAGCAAAGATCTACTTTTTTTGAGTGGTACTACAGTAAAATTGTATTATTTTTAAAAACATGAGATTCTTAAATGGCTGAAGCATTAGCAGTTTTTACTTACCAACATTTCTCGAAATGTAAGTATTAGCAAAGCATTTTAGTAGGAATGTAGATAATGTTCATGTTTTGTGAAGTGTATCCGTTTTTTTGTTACTGTTTTTGTAAATTTGATATTTGTTAATTATTTTATGTACATTGTTCACAAAATTGTTCAATGCCATTCCAAAAAATATTTTGTTTCAATACTTGATTCAAAAGTTTCTTTTTTTTCTGAACAACATACTAATTAAAACTGATGTAATAACGCCGGCAGTATTAATTAAAATATTGTTGAAATATAAAAACAGTTCAGTTCAAATAAATTTAACTAATCTAATTCTGATTATAGATGGACTAATTATTTCTTTCATAGTACTGGTAGTTTAAGACGAAGCAGGACTTATCGATTCCGCAGTTTCGATCCTAGCCTCGTAAACGTTTCTTGCTTTGCCATTTCTGTTTTTCTTTTTTATGATAATGAAATTTAAAAACAAATATATTAAATAAGAAAACCAATCCTTATAATGATCCTTATTTCTACTTCATTAATTTTTAGCTGCTAACATTTAGCTTCGTTTCAAACATTTTATTTTTCTCAAGATAGGAATAATTTGAAGAGAGTTTCCAGATTGCAACGCGTGGAGTTAATTAGCACAGAAATCCTCATTTATTGATTGATTTGTTTACCAAACTTTAGAACCAAAATACATTAGTATATAATAGATAACATAATTACTTACATAAATAATGGAAGATAGATATATATATAGTTTTCATTGAAACGTTCTAATTTTTCCCTCTAATTCATTAGAAAAGTGTGGGCAATCCCTCGTAAATATTTTTAAAAATCTCGACGTTTAATTCCGCACTCAATGATTTTTAAATATTTAATAACCGTATAAAATTCCTGATTTTCTGTTACTGGGAATAATAAATGAATAATTTAATAAACTCAAAAATTATATTTAGGTCTACTGAAATACATTTATAGTGATAATAAAATGGAATGGAATGTCTATATTAAAGTAACGGTACTGAATCGGGAAGGGACCGAAATAGCAACGTTATCAAAACGGTATTGGGACCGAAATGTAATGAATCGATTTTAGACATCCAATATAGTATAAAAGTGCATCAAAAGAATCTTGTGATTTAAAAATAATAGTAATCACACCTCGACTTTTTTTAGGTTTTAAACCGGTGTATGGATCCAAGAACTTACGAACAACCTCAGCCATTGATCACAAACATTCCACAAGTCCCTCTCATCTCTTCCCAGTTGCTGCCTCCAGGTTGTCGAAAGGATTGTATACGACTCAGGGGACTCCCCTTCGAAGCCCAAGTGGAACAAATACTCGAATTTTTGGGCGAACACTCCAAAAACATAGTTTACCAAGGTGTCCATATGGTATACAATGCACAGGTAAGAAACTACTTAAGCAATTATGTTTACAGGTTGCTCCGCGATACCCTCTTTTAATACAAATTTCGAGAATCTTTGTGAGAAATGAAATAAAAAAATATGCACATCAGGAAGCGCAAATTAAGATTTAACTGAGAACAAAAACGTTCCTAAGCTCAGACAAAACATCGATGAAGTCTGGCAGAGCGAGGAACGGGTTAAAATTATTAAAAACAGTATATTTGTTTAGAGGGACTAGAATGCATTTGTTTTTTGCTATGCCTTTACCCTTCATCCTCAAATGAAACGGTTTTAAGGTAATCTAATCCCTCCATTGGATTTCAATAGTGACTGGCGTGAAAGAGTTTTTGTTCTTTTCACCTAAATAATTTGCAACATCTATTGTGGATAATGCTTTGACTTAAATTTTACAAATATTTTAAATATATAAAGACAGTCAATACAGAACACCCTGTTGTATACGTTTCAAAAGCTGCACTAGTGATAATTACACGAAGATTAATTGAAAATATTTAATGTATTCGTTGCTGATTTTAAGCACTATTATGTAGCAAATAGATTTGCCTGGTACAAAATTTAACCACTTGCGGGGAATTTTGAAAAAGTTTACTTATAAAAACCTCTACTATCTTTCAAACTTTTGAAATATGATATCCATCATCTAATTACTATCAATTACTTGTATTTAAGAACTTTGCATTTTTTATGTAAACTTATTGTTTTATTTATTTTTAAAGGGTCAGCCTTCAGGAGAGGCATTCATTCAGATGGACACTGAGCACTCCGCTTTTATGGCAGCTCAACAAAGACACCACAGATACATGGTGTTTGGCAAGAAACAGCGTTACATCGAGGTCTTTCAGTGTTCAGTGGATGATATGACGCTTGTTCTCAACGGTGGCATACCTGTGCAGAGATCTCTCATTTCTCCCGGTAAGATCTCTCTTGTAAATTGACTAAATCAGTGAAAGTTGATTCAGATTCCATAAATATAAAAGATCTTTCAGTGCATGATATGCTCAATATGTATTTTTTCTCCTTCAAAAAAGAAGTTGTTAAGGATGTTCATTATTTTTATAGGTGGAAATATGCTTCCTCCACCATATGGTGCATTTCCTTACGTTCAGACACCACAAATACTACCAGCGGTTGCGCCTCTGACTCCAAGATTACCAGCAGCTTATTATTCTCCTGTTTTCTATTGGCCATATCCCAGCCCTCCAGTCTCACCCACCACCTACTACCCACATTCTGGTACAACAGTTGTAAGTTCATTTTCATTTACCTACATTCATACTAGTCTTAGCGTTCTTAGAAATATTTAAGAGCTAAAAATATGTATGAAAGAGAGATCGGCGCATTGATCTCATTTATTTTAATTTATGCCTACTTGTTTTACATTTCAAAATTTAAAAGCTTAGTGGAAGAAGGTTCTGAGTAGTGTTTTTGAACGAAAGCTGAGATTTTTCAGGAAGTCTATAACATTGGTTTATTTTCGGAGTCATCAAATTAAGGAGATCTCAGTGGATAAAAGTACTAAATAATTGTCTTAAGTAATTAGGATGGAGAAGAATGTTCCAAATGAGTTTGGCTATAAACAGTCGATGAATAGGAAAACTGAATTAAAACGTCTAGAGTAAGAACGCTAATTACGCGAGCAGTTCAAGTGAATGTTAGGGAGTTATCAATTTCGCCAACTGGAAGCTTGTAAATAAAAAGTAAATGAAAGACTCAATCTTTGTTTTTATTATCAATTACTTGTTTTCTTGTTATCAACTTTAAAATTAATTTATTAAATTCTCTTAAGTCTCACAAACAACCTTCATCCCCGCAGCTCTTTAATTGTAGCGGCATAAATAACTTTGCAAAAGTGAACAAAACTCCAACGAAGTATAATTCCTGGAAGGTATTGGTATTTGTCCTCAAATGATGAAAATGTCTTAAAATATAGCCGTATATTGACAGTAATTAAAAGATTTGATGAAAAGAATTCTTGGAGGATATTTAAGAGCAACTTAACAATGTTAACAATAAAGATTATGAAAGGGCAGAACAAAAACAAGTAAAGTTTAATTGCTATATTAATATTTCTATTAATATTGCTAATTAATATTTCCACTAACAAAAACATCTTGATTACCTTCATAAACAATATTTTACTTTATAGTGAGTATGTATTTTGAATCATCTGAGCTAAGCTATGTGAAGTATACTATAGCTAATTTTTATGGAATGCTTTAGGCTTATAGCTAGTATTGCAAATGACTAAAAAAAATTTAATTATGAGAACTAAATGACTACTAGTTTATCATACATTTAAACTCTTTATAATGTTAAATATGGCATAGATTTGTATACGTTTTAGCTCATATTTTTGCTCCATTTTTAGCTAACAACAGAGTGCATCCAGGTTCAACGGAATGGTGAAGTCCGCCCAAACAGTGAAGCGATGGTAACATTCCCAGCTGCAAGGATTGAAGCCGAGAGAGCCCTTCAAGAGAAAACTCGTCAAAGCATCAGCAATCGGTACATCGAGCTGTTCATGGCTTGAAAGAAACAACGGATGAAACAAAGTATTTTTTTTTTTAAGCACGTGATCCATACACCAGTGACAAGCACCAACAAGTCTTTCTGATAAACTGTTCGTCTTTATTTTGTATGTGTTCTATCATGCAACAAGATCATAGCTTCTTCCATTTTGTATAGTCTTCAATCTTCTTTATTTTATCAAACCCTTCTTTGACCTACTAGTTATTTTATAAGCTATATGTGAACGTGTCCGTGAACTTAGCTTCATGTTTTTATGTGTCTTGCCGTTTTTATTCACGTTAGTCTCCGTGATTCTGTGCATGATTTAGCTAGCTTTTAAGTGATTTAGCTACATAAATGTGTTGCAAGCGTATTTATTTTGACTACCCAGGTTACTGTTTTTAAGAACGTAACATTTCTGTTTATGTGTTACTGCCCTAACCTGGAACACTGAAAGCAAGATGTCTTTTGAATGATTAAATGGCCATCTAGAAATTTGTAGTGAATTTATTTGCTAATCTCTTTTATTTTCATATTTTTCATTTGTGTATTGTCTACTTTTGCATGTCTAGTCTTTTATCTAGATGGTTTTGCAATATTTAAGCGCATCAGACAAAATGACATCTGCTAAACAAAAAATCTTACCAGGTTAAGTCTTAACATAATGATTTAAAATTTTCTGTTAAGATTTAACATGTATATTTATCATATCAAAATAATGGTAATTGTTTTGATAAGTCATATTAACATAATGGTAATTAAATTATCATCGAACTGTGGTTTTAAGCCGCACAGTGAAAAACTTACTGCAGCTAAGAGGAAGAAATGTGAATACCTAACATTAACATAGAATACCACACCTTGAAATAAGCTGATGATTTTCATTTTTTTCCCACTTAGACAATGATTTTATCCTTATGGTAGCTTACATATAACTATATTCTAGTTTTGATAGTTAATTAAAAAAAGCAAAAAATAATGGTAAAGTTTTATCATAACAGATCTGTCCAATACCTTAAGTGGTGCGACATGAAATATAGATTCAAAATACGAAGCTGCTAAAGTATTTATTTTTAACTATACATTACCATTTTTTAACACAGTTTTAATGATGTTTGAAGCTATTATTTCTTTACTCGCTTGTAATATACTATTATGTGTGTACTTTTTATAAACTTTTTTATGCAGATATTATTTCACTGTATGTATTGTGTTACCAAATGAGTTTTTATTTATTGTAAGAGAGAGAGAGAGTTTTGATGTTAACCTATGAAGGCGTGCGCTTAGCAGCACTTCTATGCATTCCAAGTGCCTTTAAACTATTTTTTGTCTGTATATCTTGTTATAATAATCTTGTCGTATTATGCATTTATAGCTATGATTGCCTTATGCTGTGAATATGGTTTGAGAATAACATGGTTCACATCGACTAAGATTTTAAATGTTTAAATTGAAAGTATCACATGAAGTATGACGAATGCTCAATATTCAAATGAACCCTGAGCTTTAGATACATAGTTTTCATTTACACAGAAAACAAAAAGTATATATCTAAAGCTGTTAATTGTTTATTTCACTAAGCAATAATTCTAGAATTATTTGAAACTTAAATATTACCTGCTTGCTTTGTGCACTATTTTTTAAACTTAATAAATGTAGGATTTGCAAGTGCTTCTAAATTTAAAAAAAAATTGCTGTGTGGGAGCCAAGTCCTATCCAATAGCAACGAGACCCTACCTCATATTTTTGCGGAAGAAAAAGCTGCAATTAGGGTTAGGTTATGCATTAAAAGAGGTAAATCAAGTCAGATTATGCGATTACAGACTCTAATTTCAATATTACATACATTATAATAATCAAATTCTATCATAATGTCTGATTATTAGCAACATATTCTTTTGAAATGAATAAAAATGGGGTCCAGAGAGAAGCTTTGGATTTGTTTCTTCCGTATTTTGCTGTATTAGTTTTTACAGCAAAGAAAAAAATTAGTAACTAAATTAAAAAGTTAGAAGTCTTTTAATTCATAATTATCTAAAAATATACAACAAAAAGCTTCAGCAATTGGATCAACTATCACCCTTTAAACAACTTCTATATATGCTCAATAATGGATGTGAACTATGATGTTATTCTTTACACCAAAAACATGTGCTTGTACTTGTAAACAGTACTTTTTTTGTAATGTCTTTGTTTATTTAATGTCCTAATATATATTCATATATTATATCAGAATCAAAATTATTTTTTTTTGCTTCAACAAACACGTTTCCTAATATATTATCACTAGTGTTTTATATAAGAACTCAAAGCTTTGTATTTGATATTGTATTTAGTTTACAACTGTTTTTGAATTATGTTTACTAACAAGTGAATATGTAATTGAATGGACTTGTTTTCGTGAACAATGATGTGTGAAAACTATTTTTAGACATTTTTAACAACAAATTAAAACATTCCCCAAAGTGCAATAACAATTAAAATTGTATTCAACAGATAAAACTAGGGCTGTATTTGTTTTTATCTAAATTTTGTAGGAATATTGTTGAATTTTGGGAACAAAGTATATGGTTAACATTTTATCATTACCTGGAGCTTATTGTAATTTTTTGTCCATATTGATTAAAAGTACATTCCATTTTCAGTGCCTTACTGTTGAAAATGAAATAGTAAAACTGTTGGAAAAAAAATCTATTTTTATAAAATGATGAAAACTATTTAAAACTTGTTGATTTTATATTGCTATAGAGTATATATGTAGGTTTCAGAGAAACAGGAAAAGAATAATGTGAATGAAATAAAAGTCCTGAACATACTGTTAATTATAGGAAAACTAATAGTTTTACTAAATTAGGGATGCACCACTTGTGGTCCAGTGGAAAAATGTAGTCTCTTGCCTTCCAACTATAAGTGCTTTTCATACTTATTTCTATAAACTTTGATAAAAAAGTAAACTTTTAATGTAAAAATTGCAAAATATAGCAGTACTATTTCACGGTATCAGAAGATCTAAATCTTTGGTCTTCCTGAATTTTTTTTATTTTTAAATTCTCTTTTAATGTTCATAAATTCAACGATTTATTTAAACATTAAAGATGAAATTCATAATTAAGATCTGTGATGGCATAGTGGTTAAAACTTTAAGATCAAATAGATTATGAATTATTGTTGAATTTAAATATACTCAGAAGGTTTCAAACTCATCGCTGGTTATAAAAATAAATTAACTTGCGGGAACCTTTTTAACTCTTCCACGGAACCTTGGGGTTCTGCAGAACACCATTTGGAAGTCATTGCACTAAGCTATCATTGCGTGCTCCATCCAGTGGTGGCTTGGAGACAACCCAGCTTTATATCAGCTCATACAGGGAGTAAAGGCGGCAGGTGTGCAATGCTGACAATGACCCCTTTCTCAACAACTAGTTGCAGCAGGAATGCTTTACTTGTTTTAATTAACAATAAAACAGTTTTAATATCAATAATAAAACAGAAGAAGTTGAAAACCTACTTCAATTCTAAAAAAGATGACAAATAGTTCAAAATTTCAATTATTTTTTAACTTGAAAATATTTTACACATACTTTGTCTTTAATTTTTAAGTCAAATTGATACAGCACATTGATTGTTATGAGGAATAATTAAATTTGCTTAAACTGATTCAAAAATAGAATTTTTGACAGCTCTTCCTCTCAAAGCCAAAATATATTTTTCTGTTGTTCTCTGTAGAAAAAAAGTTGTGCACTTTTTTTGACAAGCATTCTTTTTGTTCATTTTCAGAGCCGTTGAAATTGAGCTCTGATTAGCTTCATACAAAATTTTGAATTTTAACTCAAATATATAAATATTTCTTTAAAAAATTATAACAGTTGTTTTAAGAATTCTATTCCATTTTGTAACATTTGCTACATTTTGTAATAAAAAACAATGAATAGGTTTTTAAAATTTCCCACAGTTGAGAAGTTTTTGGGCAATGTGCAAATAATGAGTGTGCATTTTTTAAAAGTTTTTATAGAAATGAAAAAGTCATATATTGCAAGAAAATCAAAAGTTTCCCCCCACATCTATGTACATAATGTGGTTGTTACAATATTGTTGTTCCCAATGAATTGTGTAAACTGTAGTTCTGTACATGTATTCATTTATTATTCAATGCATACACTTTTGTCGTGTTGAAAAAACATTTTAATAAAGTTTTATGTATATTTCAGTTTTATGAGTATCACTAGCATTCACTTCTTAAGTGTTGAAAGACACCAGCTATTAAATTTAAATATATCTAATACTCAGACGCGATTTAAATATTATATAAGCATGCTTCGGGCAATTTTGGACCATCCCCATTAATGCTTACATAAGAAAGGTTCAATACCTCCTATTTTTTGCTTTAAATTTGACTTTTACTGTAGTAAAAAAAAATAAAAGCCTCTTTTTGAAAACTGTCAAAAACAAAAATCAAAATTTGATTGTAAATTATATTGAGAGAAATTAGTAATTGGAATAAAAACAAAATTTGAGTATGTAAGCATTTTCATTTTTTTAAAAAATAGTTTTAAAAAAATTCATAGCATTTTGAAGGTTACCTTATTTAAATTTTTCAGTAGAGTATATATAGTTTTAATTAGGAGTTATTGATTAATACTATATATTAATTAGGAGTTTTAAGCTTTTTATTATGGTTTTTCACTTCCGTCCGTCTCACTTATACACATTTATTCTGTGCTTTCTTGCCTCTGCACAGAAATGAAAGGTACCCATAATATTAATTTAAAAATAATTATCTATATGCAATTTCATAAAAACAAATGTTGATTATGCTATCCTCCATTGCATAATATGTGGGCTCCAAGAAATTTCAAACTCTTTTGTAGATCCATGTATAAAAATATTAAGTCTTAAATAAATAGCCAATTAATTAATAAATAATTAACTATTGCATACAGATGAAAAATAGTTAAAAGATTTTAAAAACATTTTCCTATAGGTAATTTCATAAAACCAAGGCTCAATTATGCTAGTTTCCATTGCAATATATGCTGGAAAATAGAAATTTGAAACTTTTGAAGTCTTTAATAGCCATCACGTTTTATAAATAATTAATTACTACATATTGATTTAAAAACAGCATTTAAAAATATTAAGACTTAAAACTATTTTAATCAAAAATGAATTATAGATGCAATATTTACAAAATGTATCATACAATGTCCTATTTACATATTAGAAGCATTTACAAGTACTGTTTGGCCAGAGCTCTCAAAAACCAACCTTTCCTGAGGCTTGCAGCTTCTCTTTGAATCTCTTCATTGTTGTTGGAGTTGAGTTCTAGCTGACCAATCAGCTGGATCACCTGCTGGCGGCAGTCAGTCTCTCCCCGCTTTGTGTGGTGGTGCACCAGGAATTCAAGCAGAGTGATATCCCATATGCAAGAGTAGTAAGTGTCACAGCTGTCATTGCAAACTCTCTCCCCGAGGGCCTTGAATGCCATTGCATAGTTCGGCTCATCCAGGAATTGGTGAAGGATAGCAGCCTGGAATTATCAATGATTCCACATTTAAATCTCACACTGAAGCAGTTACCCCAGCAAAAGTATATTTTTAAAAAAAATACAGGGTGCACTGTATTTTTGTGACCAGTACCCAAAACCTAAGATATGAGGTTTTGACCATCTGGACCTATTTTTGACCTATTATTTTGACCTATTTTGACCATATACTGGGTAACCCTTCAAGTCTGAAAAACCCATAATAGAGAAACAACAACTGAATACTTAACTTTCTAACCCTCTTAACTTTCAAAGGAGGTAACGATAATTGAAAAATCGATGTCTAGGTACATTACAGTGGATAAGTTGAATTGGAAAATACCCCTATAGCACCACCAACTGAAAACTGAGGGGTTAGCGAACCTATCACAAAATGGTGCAAGAAGAACAGGTGAATAAGTAAGTTGCCGAGCATTATCGCGCCTGTAGGAACTAATACTTTGTGGATATTAACAGCTAGAAAAACAAGCATTTCTTACTGTATAAAAAGACAAAAAAAATCTCAGAAGGAAAAAATAACTAGTGATGGCAAAATTCTTCAACTTTTATTTTTAGACTTCGCTTAAGCCGATTATCAAAGATGGGTAGAGTAAGGGAGCTAAAATTTACAAAAACCAGTTTATTTAACAAAAGTTTTTTAACCAGTTTATTAACAAAAACCAGTTAATTCACCTTTCATTGGAAACTGCTTTTAACCTTTATATACACTAAAGTTGGTTTAGAGACTTCATTGCTCTTATCGACTGCAATAGCAATTAAACTAAAACTAAACTCAGTGGCGCGACAGCCCATAGAGGGCCATGGCCTACTGTGCCCATCTCAGTTTTCTTGACCTTGGGCTCTGGTGTGCAGGAGCAGATGTTCCAGTCAGGTGGTCCGCAGAACGTGGAACCCCCAGTGTTTAGTTCCCAAGCATGCTTGGTATTCATTTATCGACCCACTGAAGGGATGAAAGGCTTCAACATGAAGTTGAAGACTTTCCACAAGTCAACCTTGCCCGGCCCCAGGATCGAACCAGGGACCTGTGGCACGACAGTGCGAAGCGCTACCGCTCAGCCACCGGGCGTCACAATAGCAATTACCTCAGAGTTTGAAAACATTTTGGAGTTTGACGAATATTAATTTGTGACCCCTAAATTGTATAACTGACTTTATTTTTAAAAAATATTCATTAAGAGTGAACAGAACATCATTACAAAACATATTTATTATATTCATATAATAATAAAAAAAAATGATATAATCAATCTAAATAATTTATATCTTTAAATACGTGCATACCAGAGCTAATATTAGGAAAGGTATTATGGTAAATATGAACAATCAAAACTCCCTAATCAATAAAGGTTACAAAAAGGAAAAAATATGCTTTTGTATAACATAATTCGAGATAAATTATTGATAATAAAACTTTATAATTTTTTTTTAAGTGATTCAATATTTAAATTTACATTTAGAAACATTTAACATTTTCAAGCACACAACTAGAAAGGCCATTTAAAAAAAATTACACAGATTTAAAAAAGGAACAACTGCACGAGCACTAAAAAAGAATGAGCATAGAATCTAAGAAGCAATAATTGTTGTTTAACTAAAAAAATAAAGAAGTTTTGTAACTAAGAGAAACATTTTATACAAGAAGGCTCAACTTAAAACTAAAAAAATAATGAACATAGATTCTAAGATGGATAATTGTTCCATTATTAAAAATTAATTACACAAATTTTAAAAATGAAGGATTGTCTAATAATGAAAAAAGTATAAAGATTATGAACAGATTATGAACAATTGCCACACCATTAAAAAAAAGCATGAATGTGTGTTTTAAAAATGAAGAAATATTAGAACACATAAAAAATTAAAAAAAATATGGATGTGAGAAGAAAGTCATAACAAAAAAAAAGGTGCAGTTTACCATGAAAATACAAAGTAAAAGAATAAAATATTTCACAGACAGTGAATTTTATAGATTTTTAGTAACCAAAAAAAAAAAAGAAATAAATAGAAAAAACTATTAAATTTAATTTAACAACAATATTTTCTGTTTGTAATGGACATTAACTGATAATTCAATCTTTATAATCATAATCTATTTTCATTAAATTTTTAAATTCATAAATTTGCATAATAAAAGATAAAAATTCATTTTTATAACATATTCCTGAATAAAATATTGACATAAATTTTTATAATATCCAAAGTATTTTTTAAAACAATTCAAAAATACTTTTGTTATTACACAAATTTATACCAATATCTAATTGTTCATACTAATATCTAATTGCTCATTGGAAAAGTTGCAGGCACATTTTGTTTTGAATCTAAAAAACTTAGGGACATTAAACTAATTTAAACTAATGCACTAATATAATCATAAACTGTTTATCATACCTGTGTGTGGTTTTGAAGTTTGGAGCAGCAGTGAATCATGTGCTTGTACTGGAGATCGTCAAAAATAGCTTTTGGCAAGGGGAGGCTAAAAAAATCACTGCTAACCATAGCGGCAGAGATGTAGTATTTTAGGGCACTTGCATAATGACCTTGAACTGAAATATTAAATAAACAAAAATTATTCTTTTAAGCTGTGATGAGAAGAATTTACTTAAAATTTGCAATATTTTAATTTTATGTTATCTGAAAATTCCCCATCAGTATGGTCATTAGTATAGAATTTTGTTAAGAGTTTATTAGGTTTTTAAAGTCAGTAAATGGTTTTTTATTTACTGTTAGATAACATAATGTGTTAAATAATACTTTCATAAATTGTAATTAAAATCATTAATTGCTAATAAATATTTCATTAACAGTGGGCACTTTGGATAATTTCTTATCCATCATTGGCACATTTTACTTGTGAAATAGAATTTGTGATTTGAGTGAAAAACCCTTTGCTGCATTCAACGAGGAATTAACAACAACTACTCTATTTTTTTTCTTAATTTATTCACAGCATGAAGTCAATTCGCAATTGCTGGAACTCTATGTTTGCTTAAAAAACATCACTTATTTGTACATGGTATCTGCTACATTTTAGATTTTCAAATTCATGACTAATTCCGAAAATTTTCCATGACTTAACAAAGTTACTATTTTCTCCGGAAAAAAAAAACACAACAAGTATAAAAAAGAATTATAACAACATGAATTGAATTGATAGGTATAACCAAAACTGTTATACTCAGCATCTTCATATTTATAGATTTTAAATTAAAAAAACAGAGTAATGAAAGAGTTAAAGCAATAAAATAGCTGGAAAAAAATACAAAAGCAAATATTTTTTCTTTTTTTCCTCTGCAGAATTATATTCTAAAGATACTTTTCTTGTTTATTGGAAAGGAAAGAAATACTCCTGATTTTTCTGTTCTCATTTCAGAATTTAAAAAAATTGCCAAAGGGCTTGCTTCAGCTAGAATTTAAAATTGATAAAATAAAAAATAACAACAAAAATTCTGAAATCACCGAAGTTTAAAAGATAATTCGTTCAAGAAAAAATATTTTTTCCTTCATTTTTTGAAAGAACACTATGATTTTTAAAGAACAGGATAAAAAATATTTTATATTTCAATCAAATATGACTGTGAGTGGGGATTTTGTTATAAATTCAAACATTCAAAACACCATGAAATTGGGGAAAGGGGAGGGGGTAAAATCCATTTCAAAATTTAGATTTTTCGGCAACCTTAATCCATGACTTTTTTTTTAAAAAAAATAGTTAAAATCATAAAATTTCATGATAAATTTTGTTCAATATCGAAATTCGTGACTTTCCAGGTGTGCAGATACCCTGTCTGTAATAGAAAAACAATATTACTCACCATACATGACATCTCCTTTTGTACGAAGCCATGCAGTATGGGTTGGGTGAATGGACAACGCATGGTGTAAAGTGTTTTGAAAAATTTCCCCTACAGCCATCATATTGAACACACTAGAACTAAAACACAAATTAAATAATGTTTTTAAATGATTGAAACTAAAATAAAAATAACTTTAATATTATGTATAGTTTTGAAATTAACAAACTTTTATTTCAACTATAAAACCACCAATAAATTAAAACTATAGCATGACGCATAAAAAGTGTAGCATTTTCATCGAGTCATTGATGAAAATGCTACACATGAACATTTATCATAATGTTGCTTTAACCTGTGCCAGTAATGCAAGTTAAATAATTAATTTCTCTTCGTTGATAGTTTTTAATTAACAAACTTTATTTCAATTATAAAACTAGTAGCAATAAATGGAAACCATGACACGGCATATAAAAATATGAAATTATGGAAAAAATTACACACCACGCCAAAAAAATATGCAAAGATTAAGTTATGCATGAAGACTATATAAAAATAATTTTTATGTATTGCAGGCACAAGTAATATAATTTAATAATTTATTTCTTTTAATTGAAATATTTCAAAATTGACCTGGTAATTTTCAATTTCACTTAGTTCACAAATAAATATTATAGAAATTTTAACTAATTTATCATATGTCAGCAAATAAATTATCTAATTTACAACTACCTAATATTGTGGCTAAAGATTTGGCGCTGTATATTTTATGTTTCGCAAATTTAAAAAAAAATAATTAAACTTTTTTACTGTTTCACCATATTATTTGTGAATTCAGAAAACAGCTATAAAAAAAGTAATTTAGTGAAAGTAGAACATTATGAATAATTATTTCACTTTTAATTATCATACTGTTGTATTATTCTTTAGTTGCTATTAAAATAAAATGAATGAAAGTTAGTTTAAGGGGATTAAACAGGATGAAACTTAATGATATCTGCTATACTACACCAAACGCACATGACGTTTGATATATATGCTGATCAAATACCGTTGCAAACTAAGTCTAGCACAAAAAAAGAGGAAAAAATCACTGGGTAGCTTTATGGTCATGGGTTCTAGTTTCGTTAAAAACGGGAGAAAAAAAACCTTTAAGAAGTTGAACTACAAGAAATGTTTAAAACCTTCTGAAAACTAAACAACTTTGGGAATTTATTTTTCTCACTAGATTGATGCATCTAGATTTGTTGTTTGTTTAGTTTGATAATAATAATAAGTGATTACTATAACTAAAAGTAGTATATAATCAAAATAATGAAAAGTTTCAACCTGCTTTTCTTTTTTATTTTAAAGGTGCTTATTGTTATAAATACTATAATATATGTACAATAAAATAATAAAAACAAAGATCTTCATATACCAAATGAAGAGGAAATAAAAATGATATAGATACATCAACCCAGAGATAATGTATTTTACCAAAGTTATCTGCTTACTAATTCATTGAACATTATTTACAGCATAAAATCTGAAATACAACATTATTTATGCAAATGAAATAATTAAATTGGGGATGAAAATGTTTGGAGGTGATGATACAAATAATAATATTCATATTATTATTTAAATCTACCAGATGAAAATCATAATCCAAACAAAGATGAATAAATAATAAAAACAAAAGATAAATACATACTTAGAGATGACAGAAGGCCAAAGTCCTTGATATTCCAAAAATATTTCTCCAACAGAATCATCCTGAAATAATTTAGATTTGCATTAAACTGATATTCTAATCAAAGAAATAATTAAAACTTAACTACACAAAAAAGGAAGTCACTTGCCTTCAATATGTTGTAGAACTTTGCCAAACAAGAAATGATGATACTTAGAACCAACGTATCCTAAAAATAAAAAAGATTTTCAAGTTATATGTCATACAACAAACATGTTTCAATAAAATAAGTGATAAGTTGAAATGACTTGGAGCAGTTTAATGTTAAATTAAACCGGAATCAGTATTAGAAGCAAGTTTGGTTTTTTCCTTAAATTTAATAATTAATTAATCGCAAATACAAACTGAAGAGTAATCACTGCTTCGTTTGTATTGCAATAAAATATTTAAATGTTTCTGAGCGTGCCAGTAGCAATTTTTTAAAAATTAAAAAAAAAGGCAAGTTTGAAACACGCTGAAGTCGATATGACAAGTTTATTATTTTTATTATCATAATTTAGAAGCCGTTTGGTTTTTCTTGTAAGTGTCCCACCAGCACTACATTAATTGTCTAACAGCAACAGTAAAATTAATGATGATTTGAAGACAATCATCATCATAGTTGGCTAGACAGCCCAGTGTGGGCCAATGCCTTCCTCTGAAGATTTCTCCACAACAACTTTCGATTTATCTTTGATCTCCAATTCTTTTTATTAATTGCATTAAAATCAAAAAGTCAGTCTATCTCAACCGTGTCCTTCTCCGTTTTTTTGTTCCAGTGGGTCTAAAAAGCAGTATCTTTTTTATTATATTGTCATAATTCATTCGAATCACATGGGCCATTCAATTCATTCTATTTAATTTATGTATTTAATATCAGGTTGTTTATAAATCTTGTACAGTTCAAAGTTAAATCTCCTTCGCCTTATTGCTTTAATTTACACTACCAAGTACACTCCGCAAAATCGTTCACTCAAATCTTTGTCCTCAAATTTGAGATTTGACGACAATACTGAAGCATAAATGTGGTACGCTACAGCAATTCAGATCGGAGGACAGATGGAGATAGTATTCTTGGGCCACTGCACCGTCTTCCTTAACTATCCAGCTGAGCATTTATTTTTTTCTGGCTCTAAAGCCATGCATTATTTACCCTGTAAGAAAATGCAATTTTATTGAGCATCCAATTTTTAGCATGTGGAATCAAACCCAACCTTCCACTACGATGGACGAAGACACAAACTACTATACTGACTATGCTGTGTAAGGAGCTGAAGCTGTTTAAAAAAAACAGCAAGCAAGAAAAGAACTTGATTGAAGAACATTTGAACAAAAAAGCTTTTGAGTAAAGATAAATTGAAGCTATAAAAGCATTGCTGTAAAAGTAAAATTTCTGATACAAACATAGACTTTGCGGCATAAAAATTTTAAAAGAAGTTAGAAAAATATATGAGTCTATGCCAATTTATAAATACGTAAAAATGTGTTCTTGCATTTTCTTTCACATTTATTTTTTACAAAAAAAAAAATTACTAAGTGAATTAAATAATAAATTAAAATTACTATAAAATCCATATTTTAATTATCTATACATAATAATAAAAGCGGCTGTGTGTGTGTCTGTAATCACAATATATCGCCCCAGAAGCCTCGCCCAGGCACGAAACTCGGCCCATAATTGTGTTTTGACATAATGAAGAAGTATTTTTTTTCTTTTTCAAAAATTTGGATTAGTTATTTAGTTATCAGTCATTTTGTAAGTCTATGCTTTTCGTCTGCTTTTTCGTCTTCAAAGAGCCATATTCAAAAAACTATTAAAAAATGCATATACTTTTCCCCACTCTTATAAATGTATGCTAATGCGAACCTTACAATTGAAATATTAATTTTCGACAACTTAAACCAATAATATACGAAGGAATTAATAATTTAATTGTAAAGTTCGCATTAGTTTACATTTATTAAAGTGGAGAAAAGTTTAACTTTTGTATTAAAAATGTGGCAACATATTCGATACGTAAATAGAACGCTTCGCTTTGATATATTTGTCGCTGTTCATAATTGTTATAATAAGTTTTTCTTCTTCTTTCCACGCTCTATTTTTTTTTTTTAAGCGAAGACGATAATTTTTATAGCGATATTGTAGTACTTTGTACAACTAAAAATTCTTTTCACAACACTTTAAAAATATTTACTTTATTTTCTTTATATATACAGAGAACAGTCGGCAAAGAATTCGATTAGGTTGAAAAACATTTCGCTAAAAAGGAACGAATTCCAAAAGAAAAAATAAACAACTTAAAGAATAAAAATGCTGATGCCAGCCAATTTTTTGAAAGTTAACTTAGAAATAACAAACCAAACGATGTTAAATAACAAACCAAACGATGTTAACAAAATGACGTAGAAAGCGCAACTAGATCAAAATTATACAAGCACAACTAGATCAAATTATAATACCTGAGTGCTTGACGTAACAGATATAGAAATAGAATTTGATACCATAAAAAATTATATAGAAATAGAAATTGATACCATAAAAAATTTATTCGTTTTCGTGTTCTTTTCATGTATTTAGCATTTTAGTTTTTTTTTTTTAAGCGTTGTAGCTATATAATTTCAAACATCCTCAAGAGCTATAACACATCTGCAGCAGAACTGGATATGAAGACAAAATTGCTGGACAGGAACACTTTAATTGTCCACTAATCTTCAGATTTCCGGCTATGTTTTAAAAAATTTTATTTGTGAAAACCTTTAGCTTGGCGGACAGCTGGGCGCCTTTGGCTGCTAGTAGTCAATAAAAAGAAGATAGGATAACAACAAAATAATGATGCCTACCTTTAGCTTCTTGATAAACTGGTATAGTTGTTGCCTGAAAATAGAAATTAACATTGAATATCTTTTTCAAAGTTAAGTTTATTAGCATTATTAATAAGAAGTAACAAGATGTGCTATAATTAACTAATAATATGAACACATTGCTTTGTATAAAAATTGAGAGAATGCATAACAAAACTTAAAATTTGTAATGCAGTATCAATGTCAGCAGCTTTCAAAGCAGACAATCGAACTGGTATGAATATTCTGTTTTAGTTTGCAATTTAGGTGAACTTGAATGTTTATTATTAAATAACTATCAAACATTTGTTTGTCATATTCATAAAAAAATTTGCTTTATGGTGGTTCAAATTGAAAATACATGCCTTTTATAGGGTCAAAAAAATTATCTAAAACTTAATTGTTAACAGCAAACCATGTTTTTAAGTTGAGAGGAAAATTAAACTGTTTATGAAAGTTTAATGTTTCTGAAACTCTCTACAGTTAACTTTGACATTAGAAATTATAACAAAAATGTGTGTTGTTCTGCATGCTTATTTTTCTTAAATGCTGTTTCTTAATTAAAAAAAACATACATATAATCACACAAATAGAAATAGCATTATTTGTAATGCAAACTCACTTTGTAATAATTCCTTGAGAGGATTCCCGAGAATTATCTTTCATAACACCAGAATTTGTCCTCTTGTGTTGATTATTAACAGTATTGTTAAAAATAGGAAGAACTGAAACAAATTAAAAATATCTCTGTATTAGTTGCTGAACAATGGATATATATCAAAACTGAAAATTCAAAAAAAAATAATAATAAAATAAAAAATAAAAAAAAAAAAATAACAAAAATTTAAAAAAGTGCATTTATAAAAAAAGTACATATAGTTATCAATTACAATTAGTAGAATGAGTCAATATATCAAGCTAATTGAACGGTCATGAGTTAAAAACTTCTATTGCTTTTTAGATGAAAAGGAATAAAAGTGGACAAGTTACAAGTATGAAATTCAAACATATCAAAGAACATTCAAAATCAGTAAGCAAAAAATCAATAGAAATAGAAATCAGATAATACAGATGGTGATGGATTGGACTCTCTATTAAAAAGCTGAAAAATTCAAAATAAAACAGAAGCTGAACTGGACACCCCAAGGCAAACGAAAGAGAGGCAGATCTAAAACAACATGGTGCAGAACTATTATCCGTGAATTAAAAACAGTAAACAAAACATGGCGAGAAATAAAGTGTTTGTCCACAACTGAAGGTGAGATGGAAAGTCACAACAAAGGTCTAACTAAGGGATAAAGAGGTGTAAGAAGAAGAAGACTGCATTTTTTACCAGGATGACAATGCATGAATTATTAAATCAGAGACAAGTTAGAAACTAGAAAAGGAAGAGTCGGCAATGAAAAACAAAAGACAAATTAATGGAAGTGAGGATTGAACAAGAGAAATCCAGTAGTAAAAGCAAATGAGGTAATTGGGCAAATCAGATGCACTCTGAAATTAAGTTTAAAAGGTACACAACAGGTGTATCTGCAATTAAGACATCCTTGACAAACTATCAATTGAGATACATTGTTAGGATTTTGAACATAAATTTAATCTCAGTGACATAATTTTTTTTTTTTATATACTTCTATCTTGACACATTTTGATACCCTCCTTCGAGTATCAATTCTGATTACCTAGTAAATGATCTCAATTCTGTCTCACCTTTATATTATGGTCATGGAGTCAAAGAAAAAATTTTACAGCAGCTGGAACTGGAAAAATTTAAATTAAAATTTGAAATAATGTTTCATGCTCATTTGAACCTGTGTGTGTCTTATATCATGTTCCTTAAAGCACATTAAAAGACTGAAGGTGAGAAAGCTTATTTTCTGTCCTCCTATATTAGTGTTTTGTTTAGCTGTTAAAATTTAATAATTTATCCCGGAAGTTGAAAGATAAGATAGATAATTTTTACATTCAGATAATACACAATAAAGTATAGTTTGTCTACAATAAGAACTCCCCTACCATAAAGTCTGAGGCTGTCTGCTGCTGTGGAAACAAGAATAGCACATTTCAGGGAGGGTAGTTTCTCTTCACTCTAGGGTTAACACAATAGACTGAAGAAAAAGATAAATTCTCTTTCTCTCGCCTACCCGAACCAAACCCTGTCCTAAACAATAACCCCACACCCCTACTGGAAATAGTTATACCTCGTTACCATATTCCCCGCTATGGGTCCAGACGAATGGCTAGGGGAGTTATTTTGACAAACTATAAACACCATCAGTACAGAATAAAATAACAACTTTTCGATAGACTAATAAATGATAAATCAATGTCTTTCTTTATCATTTCTCAATCAATCAAAAAAGTTATTGGCTGATCAAGACAAGTTATTAGCTTATTAACTTACTTGTATCCCACATTTCCTTTGGTGTGTTTCTACCTGTCTTATTCAGAACTTCTTTGCAAACAGAAGCAACTACTTTGGCAAACTAAAATAAACACAAATATTAAAACAGATGTGATAAAAAGATTTAAAAAGTATATATTTAAAAAAATACATTAGTTAAAGAGGAAGAAAATTAATTCGTTTTCTTGTGGTTTTTATGTAACAGAAGGTAGATAATTTCAAGTTACTGGAAAATCAATGTTGCTCTCTTATTTTTTTTTACTTTTATTCTTTCGTATGCATTGTTTCTTTCTTTCTCCCTTTATTTATTTTTTTTGCAGAATCTAGCTTATAGACTAATCACTATCTATGTTTTGTTAGCTGCTGTGAAAGTACATGCTGAAACAATAAAAATGTGAGCATAATACAGGCTTGCTAGCTACTATCTTTTTTGTAAAGTATTTTATAAAATGGCAAATATTTAAAAACCAAAAGCTTTCAGAATTTTTGGTAATTTTGATAACATTTTAAAAGCCTCACCACGAAAGAGCTGGAACAAAGTGGCGATGCATATGAACTTTTAAACCATTTAAACTTAATTTACAAACCATAGTGGTGTGTAAAATAAGTTTAAAAGAATAAAAAATAATACATAAAAAATAATACATTAAAACAGTAATTTAGCTACCACAAGAATAAGTTTTTGCAAAAAATGTAAAAAGTTGGCAGTTTTGATAATACAATACTTTTTTTTTAAATGTTTACTATACAGTTTTTCTCAAAAACTGTACACATATACCAAATTAATTAAAATCAAATTATATTTACTGAGTAAGAAAAAAACTAAGAATAAGCATCAGATAAAAGAAAAAGATTTTTAACTTCAATCAACTCTGATAGCTTTTTTTTTCTTTTTGTTTAATCAATAAAAGTTATTTGTCTTATTTTCTTTTTAAGCTAAATAATAAAAATAATACAAATCATTTTACATACAAATGAAAGAAAATTTCTGAAAGAAATCGATACCTGCATATATCCATCGCTTTTAGGTTCCACTTCAATTAGCTTTTCCCATTCCCGAAAGTTAAGCAAAACAGCAGAGCATAATTCCATCAAATTTGGATCTGGTGGAACCTCTTAAGAAATATGTAAAGAAGAAAATTTTTTAAATGGGCAAAATAAAACCAAAAATAAAAATTAAACCATACTTATACCTTCTAAAATTTCTGTTCTTTAACAACTTTTCTTAAAAATTCTTAAAAAACTTTTAATTTCACTAAATTACATAGTAAATGACTATTTTATTATCAATTAAACTAATTCTTTTCTACTTAGAGATTCTTTTTAAACTGAAAATCAGATGTTAAAGGAGGTTAGATGTAGGGAAGAAAACCCTTAATCATAGGTACATCATCCCTGCATGTCCAGTAGATCCATACCCATCCCTTTAAATGCTTTTGCTTAAATTCTAAATTAAGTAAAACGTTAGTACCAGTTCTTCTCAAACAAATTAAAAGAATAGAAAAAAAAAATTTAAACAAATAACCAAACAATTGAGGCCAATTGTTTTAAATTTAAAAAAAAAAAATCAGTCTGCTGAACCTATGTATAGATGGTTGTGAATCCTAACTTTAGAGAACTTTAAACAGAAAGTAAATAAAGATTTACCCCTTTCTTTCTTGTATGATGCAAGCAAGGTCATTATTCTCTGGACAATTTCAGCCCTATAGGATGATGACTGACAAAAGTGGAAAGGGGAATCTAATACTTCCAGCAAATCCACCCTGAGGTGCTCCCAGTTTAGAAATCGGCTCAATCTCGGAGACGTGTTGCGTACTTCAGTTTGTATCATCTGATACAGAAGTCTAGCTTCATGATATTTCTGTGAAGAATAAATTTTTAGTTTAGAACTTGTACAGTTTTCGATCTACCAATAAATAACTACACACATCATCACTTTAAAAACATCAGTAATATTAATATTTAAAGTCACAAAAATAGTTGTTATATTGAAACTAATTGTATATATAAGATATACTGCAAACCTATATATGTATAAAATAAAAACCTCAAAACTACAATATTTCTGAAAATAAAATTTGGAAAATTTTTGATTCAAAAGCTAAACACCAAATTAAAAAGGTAAATACATAGGGTTATTGGTTTGTAATAAGTATTATATACATTATATTTAATACATTTTTAAAATTAAATATTAGAAACATTTATTAAAAAAAATGAAAGCACTTTTAGAAGATTTTAAATTTCTTTACAAAAGCTTTTTTGCTTAGCTATAAGATAGATAATTGTCTAAGTAATATATTCCATATATTATTTAGTAATCAGGGGTCTGTCCAGACCGAATTTACTACCGTTTAGCGGTACCTTCACAAATTCAACTTAAGGAAAAACGGTAGTTTCACAAATTTAATTTTAGGAAAAACGGTAGTTTCACAAATTTAATTTTAGGAAAAACGGTAGCTTCACAAAATACTTTTTCTTAAAATTTTATTTTTGTATTCCTTAAGAAATGATAAATCCATATTCTTGTGTTGGATTTTTAAATATAATTTTTAATTTTTTACAAATTATGTCTAAATTTTCACAAAATAGGTACCTCTCAGAAAAACCTAGACAGACCCCTGATAGGGTATTGTTTTTATTTAGAT